TCTCTCTCTCACCTCTATTACACTGCCTTATTTATTTTGTTTGGAATGCAGTATGGCCAGCTCTTTTTGGCTTTTTGTAGTCCATTTCCTTGTAGGTTCTTTTGTTAAGCAGACCATCTGGAAAAAAAAGCCTTTTCTAGGTTTAAGATTCATTGAACATAGAGGATCTGGTTGCCTCGCTGCTTGCACTGGAACCAACTAAAGTCAGGATATTAGGCTTACTTGAGTGGTGACTCTCTTAAGTACTTAAGTAAGGCCCGGCCCACACAAACACTCATGTGCAGTATGAAGACTCCTTGTCCACTCATTGCTATGTTCTTAGCCATTTTGCCATTTTTCCGAGGTCTATATCTGTTATTTGCTTTGCAGAATGAAGATGGTAATAGACTTGTTTGATTAAGCAAATCATATCTTCTCTCATAGTAGGCTACAACTCCCATAATGTATTGCTTATATATTTTATTTTATTTTTTATTTTTGTCTGTAATATTCAGTTTTTTACAACTCATCCTGTGCCACCACTCAAGGTGCAGGATACCTTACTGAGCACATGGAAATATTGTCCTTGTTGAAGCCAGCTCTCTTCCAGGCCTGGCTCACAGAAGGTGTATTTCACTTAGTGTCCTGGTGGAAATAATACAAGATCCCCTTCCTAAAAGCCCATTGAGTCTAATCTTCCTCAAAGAGCTTTGTATGCTCAGGGCAAGACATCTCTGTCACCTACTGATGGGAAACCTTATTTTATTATGACACATTCTCATCACCCTAGCCCTCAGACAAACTGTCAGTGATAACACATTCCTGTCACCTGCCACTCAGCCAAATTTCTTCATGACCCAACATCCACATCACCCAGATCCAATAAGTTAATTGTAATGCTGCATGGTTGTGAGGTGGGGTGAAGACTCAATATTACATCTCAAACAGAAATATATAACAATGTAACAGTGAGGAACACAACCCCTACACAATGTACACACAATATGTTGTACTTAGATAAGTTCTGAGGAAAAGCAAGTAGGGTATTGTATTATTACAATATTATTATTATTATTATTAAGTCCATGGATTTTAGTGAAAGAGGTTGTATACTTTAATTATAAACATTTATCCAAAATGAATAGCATATATCAATCTAAGAAAAAGAAATCAACTAGCCAAATTTTATAATATTGCAAAGTATAAGGGAAGTAATGAAACTAGCATAATGGTTACTGGTTAAAAGCAAAATAAATGTGCTAAGACATCTAAGGTCATGTAGCACTATAGGAAGGTATAGTATTAGAAAGGGTAGGGAGAGAGTTTGAGTTTGTAATTAGTTGCAGCTCATCAAGTGTCTAGACTAGTATTGGAAAGGTTAAAGATGGGTAAAGGAGGCAATGACTGACTGGGTTTAGGTAGGATTAAATAAGGAGGATTTGATCAAGTGAAGGATATGCATCTGGGGAAGAAGAACAGGTTGTCAAAGCAGGAAGTGTGAGAAGGATGTCTGACAAGTAGGGAGGATAGGTGAGAGAAAGCAGAGATACAAGCTGCAGTAAAGCATGGACAGGACAACAGAATGTGTGTAACTGAAAGAGGTACATTACATAGGGAAGATAGAGGCAATTAGTGTGTTAGGTGGGTGTGGCCAATACGTAAGCAGGCGAGAGTTGTCTCCCAGCATCTGTTCCAGTGAAATGGAGCTGACCAGAAGATTGAGTTTTACAATATGAAATATATTAGTGTGAAGACTTGAGCAGAAAGATAGCCATCAGGTATAGAGGAAGGTCTTAAAGTGGGGGTAATAATCTTTGACTGGAAAATCTGAGAAATGTGGTTGTTGTGATGTGGACACAGCAGCATGTGTGGTAGAGTACCTGCCTGTTTATTGCCAGGGATTCCAACATGTCTGGCACCCAGCAAAATCTGATAGACTTGTGGCGTGTAGACAGGTAAAACGATCAGTTCTGAATCGTACAGATGGGTATTGGTCGAGTGTATAGATTTTATGAGAGAGTTGCAGGAGTCAGTAAAAATAGTGAAAGAGGAAGAAGGGATCAAGTATATGTTTTAAAGCAAAAACGAGTGCATACATTTCTGTAATAAGAACACTGGATTCAGGAGGGAGGGGGTATTTGAAAGTGCGAGTTGGGAAGGTTACAGTGGAGATAACACCTGAAGTGGATTTGGAGCCATCATTGTAAATATAAATACTGGAGGAATGAGTGGAGATATGGTCAAGAAAATGGCTGAGAAGGACAGAATGGGGGTTATCTGATTTTGGAAAACAGAGGAGCATATACGGGGTAAGGTATAATGGAGGAACAGAGTGGACAGAAAATGAAATAGGTTGGAGATGGGGAAAGGGAGAATGGGAGAGGAGACTGTCCATGTGAATGGAGAAAGGTACAAGTAAACATGGAGAAGCAAAAGTAGGACAGCGAAGACAGGCAGATGCTCTTTTAAAGGTCACTATCAGGGAAAGTGATCTAGAACTAACCAATAGAAGTCTAAATGGAGAGAAGGGGAGCATAGAGGTCAAGGTATGAAAACAATTAAGTATGCATGTCAAAGTGTGTGGTGCAATATGAATCAAGAAGGTCAGTTGTGATGAGGAAGCATTCTAGGGATGGAATCACCATAAAGACTGTGGCAGCAGTTAAAATTACCAACTATGAGTAAAGGTGGCTGGAGTTGGGATATTAAGCAACAAAGTCAATGGGGTGGGAAGGGGAGAAGTAGAATGAAATAACTTTAATCCAGTAGTGAAGAAAGATGCAAATAACTTGCAGTTAGATCGATTATGACCAGGATGGGAGCATAGAGGGCATCAGGCTGTAGAATGATATGTGTTTGGCAAGATGTCCTAAATGCCAATTTTGACATTGATGGTGGGGGGGAGGGGAGGTTCATATGGTCGGACAGGGAGGGATTCTCCACCAATGTAAATATCAAAGCGTTCATGTCTATGGAAAGTAATCTTGGCAATGATGGTGGGGGGAATGGTGTAGCATTATACTGATACTACATCATAGTCCATTAGGCAGGCGAGTAAGTCCTCTCCACAATCTGACCAGTTTTTGTTATAGATAGGGCAGTTTACTGGGGAAATGGAGATAGTCCCAGTACAAGTATTAAGGTGGAATGAAGTTCTGCAGGTGTCGGTTTGCCATTGAAGTCTATCAGGGTTGATTATTCTTTAGCTTAGGTTTCGGATATACCTGTGATGAGATGGAACGATTGGGATGGCTGCGGAAGGAAACTTTGCCTACTTGTTTTTTTGGATAGTGCTGGAACAGGAGTGTTGTCAGAGTAAGGAGTTTGGAGGGGGGGAGGGGGGAGGACAAAAAGTTGGTCCCAGTTGGCTGGGCTAAATAGAGTATTTAAGATATATGTAGAGGTGGGAGAGGTAGAAGGACAGGGATGTGTGGAAGAGAGAGTGGTGTTGAGAGAGGTGGACAATAAGGTTGTTTAGTAGTAATAAAGGAGGATGGGGTAGTTGATGTAGAAAGTTGTGGGGGTAGAGGTGGTGAAGTTGAGAATGTTGGGAGAGTAGGAATGTCTCTTGTTTTGACCTGGGTAGATGATGTAATAGTAGGTATTGACGAGGGGGTAGTAGTAGCAGTGTTCAGACCCTGGGGTCGGGGAACTGGGAGAATTTGAATCAGTGGGGCTATTTGATGGAGGGACAAGCCTCATCAAATACCACAATAGGGTATAAAATCTTCATTACTGGCCGTGGAAAGCCTAGAGAGGGGAGAGAAACAGTCCATCCCTGGATCATAGCCAGTCCCTGACCCTCCTGAAGTAAATTTCAGGGAGCATTCTGGTCGAAAAGCATAAAAATGCAGCTCCCTCCCATATATGCAGAGTTTGTGACAGATATACTTTCTATTTTTTATGTTTTAAACTGCCTTCAGTGACTTTGGTAAAATATCTCTAGTCCAGTTTCAGGGCTTCTACAGTTCAGAGATTATAAGCCACTATGTCTAACACAGGCAATGCTTTATCATTTCACAGTAAAGGAACATTCAAATCACAAGAAAGTAGTGTCAATATACTAGATCTTTTATTCTGGATTCTCCTGTCTGTTTGTCATAGCAAAAGTAGAGAAATGTGTGTTCAGAACAGGTAAAATGATGGTATATCAACACCATTTGATAGCTTTGCCATCTGACATGGAGTAGTTTACATCACAGTTACAAAATGAGCATATAAGAGACATAGCCGAGATAAAAATGTTGAAAAAATTTAAGAATTAATGAATTTACAGTATGTATAAATATCATGAAGAGAATCAAAAGTCAAAATACATATAATAGTAACAATATATTTTGTTGTTGCTTCTTTGGGTACTCATATTCATACCACTCAATGCTGATAGAAATAGATTTTTATGGTCTAGTAAAAAATAAACTCAAAGTAATGACTTATTACTTTTTAAATCTTATACTGTATTTCTTAATTCTGGCATATAACAACATAAAAGACAGCACTGGAAGGGCATCAGATACCATTATTCTTTACTATTAAGTTTCACCAAAATTTCACTGAAGTGGGACTTGTCCAAACTACCATGATACAGAGATTTTCCTAATACTTTTTTTAAACAGATCTTAGTAAAGCAATCATATGTACACTTGACTTGTGTACATTTCTCAAAGATACACTAGACTATAGACGTTTCACTACCTCAACCTGTATATGTTTCAGAACAAGTATGATCATCATTCACACTATCCAGTATAACACAAATATAACTAATAAAAATATGAAACTAACAAAGAAATAAAAACAAAACGATGCAACCTAGATGATCACCATGGCAAATCCAGCATTAAAAAAGTTAACAATATGAACAGTAGTTATCTGTATCTGTAACACTTCACATTGAGCAAGTTTAATTCTGGAATATTCTAGCCATAACTCATTTTGGTTGGCTTGAAATAAAAAAAAAAAATACCTATACCTTTTCACTTCACTCTGTAATCAGCATAACATTAGTCTTGTCCCTTAGA